GTCGACACGTACAACAACTGCTATATTTCAAGTTCCACTGCGCAGATTTTGATGAAACGCGACTTAAGTTAAAGTTAGAGAAGTCTCACATTATTAAACTGCATTACGAGTAGACGTTTCAGTCTTTCCGTTCAAAAGAATTTAAAGATGTTTGGGATATAAGTCAAAACGATGACACAAGCTTGAAATTTTGAAAATAAGTAGATTATTATGTATAAATTTTTATGAACATCCACGAGCTTGGTTTAAAGTTACAGTACTTTAAAATCAACATGTGTTCTTATGGAGTTTAGCGGTATTCTCAGGTTCATTGGTCAAGCTTCTGAAACTTTTTATGCTGATAAATAATTATGCAATGAACAAAATAATGAGTATTTACTAAATGAAAAAAGAGATTTCTATTAAAATACTGATATTTGTATTTTCGTATAATACGCGCGATATTACCATACTTACGATCGGAGTACGCGCATCATAAATAGTTAAAAACAAAATCAACACGAGCCTCACGAGATTCGTCCGAAGAACGACTTTCTACGAAATAGTTTAGTGGCCAAACTGGTTTGATAGGCTTACTTTACAGAAATTTCGGACGAGACGAACCATTCTCCTCGATCTCCTAGTTAACAAAATGAAGAGACGTTCGGAATGCGGGGAAAGCGGTTGATGCGAAGCGAAAACCAATCAACGCTTTACTCGCGTATAAATCGAGTCTTGAGGAACGGGAAGGGTACGATTACTATTCAATTCGTACGTCGAACCGTCGATACGTGACAGAGTATACGTTCCGGCAAAGAAGGAACGATTTACTCGTTGAAATTCAATACGATCGAGCTTTTAACGATTCGTACTTCATTATACGCGTGTCTATAAATCTCGTGCCGAATTAATGTAAAGATTTAACGGATGCCGACGTTCCATACGTCCTCGTCGGAAAATAATGTGTCACAATATTTTCGGACTGGTCTGTATACGTATGTTGATCTTCTTCTTTCGCGTGCATCCACGATAACTAATCCACCAATCGTTTTGTATTTATTTTCTTTTCAGTAAAAGATCCGGCAACTTCGAGGAGATACGGATAACATTTTTGTTCGTACGCGTATCTCGTCGAGTTGTTCGGGCGTATGGAATATTTAACAGCCGTTCGTGCGAGTCAGAAGCGAGGTTCCTCCTACGAGATCGCACGGTAAACAGAGCCGGCCTTCCGAGAGGCCGATGCACCGCGTTGCCCTGTCATATTTGCAATTCCTATCGCGTTTCTTCGACCTCTCGCCGTCGAATTCGCAATAACGACTAAAAGAACGGGCCGTGACACCTGCCATTCGAAGTTGACCAAGAAGAATCTTTTTTTTTAATCAAAAATAACACAATTAACACTAGATTGCCCAACGAAGTCGTTTTGACTGCTTTTGGGCAAATGTACA